AAAAAAAAAAAAAAAAAAAAAAAAAAGTGCTATTGTTTTTCTGCAAATTTATGAAAATTGCTGCTTTTAACTCTCCTGAGTAATAATGATGAACATATTTACATAAAATTTAGTTTCCTTAATAGCTAAGTGGTTACCTATATATGCATACTGGTATCACAGCTAGTAAATTACATTTCCAATTACACTGATCATGAACCAGTGGATTGCGTGCAAATAATCAAAATTACAAATGTTAAATCCTCATGGACTAAGAAGCTATAGCTGCAACAGCAGTAATCCAGCCAGGCTCAGCATGATATTACATTCAAAAGAAACAAACTCAAACTTCAAAAAGCCATAAAAACCAATGAATAAAACATTTGTGAAAAAGCAATTAAGGAGAGGCCGCGCACAATGGCTCACACCTATAATCCCAGCACTTTGGGAGGCCAAGGCAGGAGGATTGCTTGAAGTCAGGAATTCAAGACAGCCTGAGCAACATAGGCAAGACCCCTTTTCTACAAAAAATTTAAAAATTAGCTATGATGATGCCACTGCACTCCAGCCTGAGCAACAGAGACCCTTTCTCAGAAAAAAGAAAAAGAAAAAAAGAAAGTAATTAAGGAGAAATTACATTATACAGCATATATGATAAATCCTAAAAATCCTCTTTACTCAAATCTCTTTTCCTAGCCTCAGATCTATAAGCGCTAATAACTTTTTCTTTCTATTCTCACCCCAATTCCTGTCTCATTCACCCTTCTTCTCCCCATCAGATCTTTTATTTTTTTCTCAGAGTAGCACAATTTACTTTCTTATGTTGAGTCAGCTACAGCTGCAGTCCCCAAGCCCCGGGCCACAGATAGGTACGGTCAGGTCCGTGTCCTCTTAGGAAGTGGCCTGTTAGGAACCGGCCCACACAGCAGGAGGTGAGGGCAGACTGGCAAGCGAAGCTTCTCCTGTATTTACAGCCCCTCCCCATCACGCGCATCATCGCATAAGCTCCTCCTCCTGTCAGATCAGGGGCAGCATTAGATTCTCATAGGAGCAGGAACCTACTGTAAACTGATGTGTGTGAGGAATCTAGGTTGTGGGCTCCTTATGAGAATGTAATGCCTGATGATCTGAGGTGGAGCTGAGGCAGTGATGCTAGTGCTGGAGAACGGCTGCAAATACAGATTATCAGTAGCAGAGAGGTTTGACTGCACAATAAATGTAACGCTCCTGAATCTTCCCAGAACCATCTCCCAACCCCCACACCTCCACCCCCATCCCAGTCTGTGTAAAAATTGTCTTCCATGAAACCGGTCCCTGGTGCCAAAAAGGTTGGGGACCATTGATCTACTGCCTTCACTGGGTTTCTTCAAATTTACATTTTGACCTATTTTATGTTTAGCAGAACAGTTCGGTAGCTAAGCAAAACAAGACGAAAGATTTTCCTAGGAAGAAAGAGACAAGAACGTGGCAAAAATTAATTGCATATTAATATTTTTGTTCCTACTGATAACAGCACTAATCACTATTATAACAAATCAAGCATTTCTACTGCCCTATAATCCATTCAAGTATTTGTCCCATATATAAATAGAATCATAACTCTACAATAAATTTATATTCTGCTTTTTAAACTTACATTTATGTATTTTGGATATTCTCTCTTCTTCATACTTTTTGAGTGTTTACTTTATTACAAAAGCAGTATATAATTAAAGCATCAAAAAGATCAGATATCTACAAATATATCTAAAAAAAGGTAAGGTCTCTACACTGAAAACTACAAAATGTCGAGAGAAAGTAAAGAAGCCCTAAATAAATGGGGAGATTATCATGTTTTAAATATCTTGGAATGGAAGATTCAAGATTGTTAACATGTCCATTCTCCCCAAATTAATCTACAGATTCCCATAACATTCTTATCAAAATTCAAGCAAACTTTTTTCAAAAAAATTAAAGTCAAGCATGGTGGCTGACATCTATTAATCTCAGCCCTTGGGGAGGCCGAGGCAGGAGGATCACTTGAGGCCAAGAATTCAAGACCAGCCTGGGCAACATAGCCAGAACTTGTCTCTACAAAAAAGTTTTTTTTTGTTTTGTTTTGTTTTTTATATCCATACACACATATATTTATATTTAGAGGACAGAAATAGAAACGAATCTAAGGTGACAATATCTTTTCTAAAATAAAGATCAAAGCTCATCGACACTTAAAGATTATTTAAATTATTCTTCAGATGAAATATTTTGGTCAGTTCCTCATCTTATTTTGACTGAGTGGAAAAAAGTAAAACAGTACATTACATAGAGGTTTATTGTGTGCCATTTAGAACCTCACCATTGTGTGGAGACTCCATTGACTCAATTTAGGGGAAATAGTTGAAGAATATTTTTTATTGGCTTTAGTCTCTTATAATATACTTTGTTGTTGTTGGCTTGCTAATTCTACAAAAAAGTTTAAAAAAAAAAAAAATCAGCCAAGCATGGTGATATACACCTGTAGTCCCAGCTACTCAGGAGGCTGAGGCAGGAGGATTGTTTAAGCCCAGGAATTCCTGCCTGGGTGACATACTGAGACTCTGTTTCTTAAAGAAAAAAATAAAAAATCTTATTAGAAATTGGTAATTAAAATGAAATTAAGCATTTGTCCTTACTTTCTAATAGTTCCTAAATTTGAAGGTAACCAAAGAGCCCTGGTCAGTGAAGAAAAATTCTTTTGAAGAATGTAGCTAACAAAAATAGAAAAATATAATTTTATAAATCCTAATGGAATTACTAGCTAAGGCAACGATTATAAATTGATGTTACAACCCTTAGGTAAATGGTGAATGGTAAAAAAAAAAAAAAAAATCCCCCATATAGGGGATTTGGGGGTCAACTAGGGAAATCATAATATGGACTGGATAAGATAAAAAGTTATTGAAACAGAAAGGTAGAGACTATGGAATAAAGAAAGCAGCATATAAAACAGTACAAATATAGTACATATGTATACTATATGTCATTTTGGTAAAAAAAATATATATACACAAATACATATATGCATACCCACACATACTCTCTCATACAGAAAATGATCCAAAACAATATGCACCAGGGTATAAACAATGATGAGTGATCTCTAGGTGGTAAGGAATATAGTTATTATTTTATTTTTGCTGGTCTCAATTTTCCATATTGCTTTGTACCTATATTGCTTTGTAATAATAAAGTTTGGTTCATCCCTGTGCTTTTTTTATTTTTTATTTTCTGAGACAGAGTCTCACTCTGTTGCCCAGGCTACAGTGCTGTGGAGTCAGCATAGCTCACAGCAACCTCAAACTCCTGGGTTCAAGTGATTCTCCTGCCTCAGCCTCCCGAGTAGCTGGGACTACAGGCGCATGCCATCACACCTGGCTAACTTTTTCCAATTTTGGTAACCTGCCTAATTTTTCTATTTTTAGTAGAGACTGGGTCTCGCTCTTGCTCAGCCTGGTCTTGAACTTCTGAGCTTGATCCTCCCACCTCGGCCTCCCAGAGTGCTAGGATTACAGGCATGAGCCACCATGCCTGGCCCATCCCTGTGCTTTTAAGAAGAAAACATACTTAACTCACCAATAGCGATACTTGAAAACTTCTAAGGGAATTTTAAAAAGTCTTTCATATAAAATTGTTGCCAGCATATGATGCTAAATATAAACAAAGCCCAGTAAGAGATATACCCCTTAATGCTCCATCTCAGTAACTTGAAAGTGTCATACTTTTCATCAGGCAACTGCTTAAGGAAAATAAAAGAAAATGTATAACAGAAGAAACGTTTCATTTTTTAAAATTTAATTATGTTAAGTGCTATGGGAGGGAAAGTGCTATGGAGAGGAAGGAGAATGTTCATCATGTAAGAAATAAATTTATGACATTGACCAATGCTAGGAAAACTTTATGACATGTCTCGCATGAGCTCTCCATTTCAAAAAAAAGGCCCCATCCCCTACTCTCTTTTCCCTATTAAAGAATTGAGGCTCTTTTGATCATCAAAGGGGATGGGTTTATTAATTCAAAGTATACTGTCATAGATTAATATACAGCCCTTATCTATGGTGGTTAACTTAATAGTGATGTATCTGACGCCTCCTCTTTTTCAAGAAGCTATGTCATCAATTTTAAATAAAAGAGGAAACAAGAGGTATATCTATGTATGCCAGTGTCACTATGTCTGAAAAAAGAGATACAAGGCAGGTGTATTATTTTTCTATTGTTGCGTGACAAATGACCACAAATGCAGGGGCTTAAAACGACACAAATTTATTATCTCACAAAGGCCAACAGAGTATGGCTGGATTCTCTGCCCAGAGTCTCCCTGAGCTAAAAATCAAGGCATCAGCCAGGGTGCAGTTCTCATAGGGGGCTTGCAGTCCTCTTACAAGCTCACTGGTTGTTGGCAGAATTCATTCCCTCCTCACTTCAAGCCAGCAGTGGTGCAGTGAATCCTTCTCATGCTTCAAATCTCTCTTACTTCCCCTTCTAAGCTGGAGAAAGCTCTCTGCTTTCAAAGGCTCATGTAAGCAGATTAGGTCCGCAGGGTAATCTTCCTACCTTAAGGTCAACGTGCTATATAATATAACATAATCACAGTAATGACATCTCACCATATTCATAGGTTCTAGGGATTAGGGTGGGGAAAATCTTGGGGATGGGGAGCATCTTCAGAACACTGACTACCATAGCCACAAGAAATTGTAAAAATCAATTAGAAACACCTTTCTTACCTGTTAATAATGAACCACGCAACAGTAAGCATTCCTGCTAGCCATGTTCCACTCATAAGCCAACTTGTAACAAATAAAGCAATAACATATATTCCTTGCAATCCAAAAACAATGCTAATATAAAAATACACTGGCTCCATAATCTCCTAAATGGAAAAAAGAGAGTGAGATAATAGGATGACATTAAATAATTTGAGGATTCAAAAATATTTGAGAAAATAAACATTAAGGTCAAAAGAAAAATACAAACATTGCTTCCAGTTGCTTGATATAAAACACTGGTGATAAGTTCTGGATATAGAGACATTTGCTGCACTGCATTTATAGTCTTCAGAGATACAGTTTTGTTATTGTGTGTCAGTTCGTAAACACCTAAAGGCAGAAAGATTTTTCTCCAGATTATTTATTGTTGTTAAAATAATTAAATATATATACCATTCATTAGTCATTAAATATTTAATGTTACCAAGAAATCCCAAAATATAATATCCATGTCTCATTTTTCCAATATTTTTATTAAGTACTATATAGAAAAATACCTATATTCTGAGACAAATCCCCACAAAGGCTCCAATATAGAATAATGCTTTAGTTTAGAAAAATAGTTATTAAAAATATAACTGTGATTATTGTACCTCTTTCAAATGAAGGCGCCTTTAACATATCTTTATAATAGGAGTAATAAATGGCACTATCACCCTGAAATGTGATCTCCCGTTCAAGCTCCTAAAATAAAATGAAATGATTATTTAAATACCAGTGTTTTACAAAGAAATGTTAAATGCCTGAGGTGACAGATACCCCTCAAATCAATTATCCTGATTCGACTAATTCACATTGTATGCCTGTATCAAAACATCAAGGTACTCTATAAAGATATACAACTATTATGTACCCATATAAAAATAAATAAATACCAGTGTTTTAAATTTCAGCTACAATCTTCCTTCTCCCTCCTCATCTCCTAAATTAACATGATATTTATTTATCCTTTTATTGAGACACATTTGAATTTCCATTAATCACCAGTAGCCATATTAGTGAGGAGATTAAACTTTTCAGTAATGTGGCAATTATTATCATTTTTTTAAGAGACAAGGTTTTGGTATGTTCTCCAGGCTGCAGTGCAGTGGCTATTCACAGGTGCAGTCATAGCTCACAGCATCCAAGAATTCCTGGGCTCGAGCAATCCTTCCGCCGCAGATGCCTAAGTAGCTGTTTTCATTTTAATGAAAACACCCAAGGTTTAAAATTGATTATAATTCATAAGTCATTACCTGTTTTATATATAAGGAAAATCTAAAGGGAAAATCAAAAGAAATGCCCTAAGGATAGTAAGAATAGTAAGACAGGTAATAACAAATGATAGTTGAAGTGTTACAGGTCCATAATAAAAACATGTTTAGGAAGTAAGTAGTATTTTCTATTACTACTCCATCTTCCTGTGTCTCCAGAACAGCAAGCCCTTACTTAATAATACTTTTCAAAAGCAGCAGATACTTAATCAGTGCTCTTCAAATGAACTTTCAGAAATATATGCAAGTCTTAAAATTCCTTAAAATTAGGCTAAAGAGAACCAATAATGTAGTAGTCAAAATTATTAGAAGGCCTTGTGCTTTTTATGCTGAATTAAATTTTTATGAATCTATAATCTTTTAAAATCAACTTGATTTTCACACATAATATTTACCAATTAGTACAACAACAAAAGATATTAGTTAGAGCATTTTTCCAAAGTTTGATCAACAGAACTTGCTAAGATGTTGATGGGTGTTACTAAAGAGTTCTGTAGCTACATAAATTTTGAGAAAGGCTGGATTAAACCCAGCTAAATGGCTTTCTTTATTGCAAGACTTTTCAGAGTTTCAGTATATGTTATACCCTGTGAATCTCCACGAAGAAGTCTTTCCCAGATCTATTTGACCAATGAACCCTTTTTTCCCCATTTAGAGCTTGCTATGGTCTGAATGTTTACATCCCCCCAAAATTCATACGTTGAAATCTAAGCTCCAATATGAAGGCATTTGGAAGTGGGATCTTTAGGAGATGATTAGGTCATGAAGGCAGAGACTTCCCAAATGGGATTAGTGCCCTTATAAAAGAGGACCCACAGAGATCCCTCACTCCTTCTACCATTTGAGGACACAGCAAGAAGATGGCCAGCTACTAACCAGAAAGTGGGCCCTCACCAGACACCAAATCTGCCCACACAGTGATCTTGGACTTCTCAGCCCCCAGAACTGTGAGAAATAAATTTCTGTTGAAAAAGCCACTTAGTTTATGGTATTTTGTTATAGCAGGCCGAGTGTATTAAGATAGAGCTTACTTACCTAAATAAATTTCCTTAAAATGATTTTTTATTAATGAAAACAGATGTTTCTGTTTAAGATTTCAAAAATTAAACTCTTAATCAGTGTTTCTCAAACTGTGCATATAAAACACCTAGAAACTTCACTAAAACGTAAATTTTTATTCTAAATTGGGGTCTGAGAGTCTGCAATTCTGAAAAAGCTCCCAGGTACTGTAATGCTCCTGGCCAATACACAATGCATTAAAAAACAAAGTTCCTGATGAAGGCCTTCTATATTTTCAAACCTTTGGTTGTTCTCAGTTCTGCCTACACCACAGAATCACTTGGAAATATTTTTTGAAGGCTGGGAATACTGATCCCAGCCTTTCCCCCTACTCCTACCTAAGAATCTGAGATGGAGGTTATCTTTTTAAAGATCTCAGATGATTCAATCATATATCCAGTGTTGAGAACTATTAATCTGCATAAATTTTCAAGAAATTAATATATGCTACAGTAATAGCTAAATCAATACACGTGTAGTCAGTAATTATTCAGTTAAATGTTTTGGTGGTGTTAAGTAAATTCATGGCTTAGTAAGCTTGACTACCTGCTCAAAAATAAAAACAACAAAAAACCCAGTCTGGGCTCAAAAATTTTAAAATCCTATAAAGTCAAGTGAACTTTGAAAACAAACTATTTCAAAGGTCAAACCACGAAATTATAACTATAGTCACTAAAGACTCTGTGGAATTAAAACCAAACATTAATCACAGTAGCATGAGGCAATACCTTGAGAAATACTATGTCATTACCCCAGTAATATTCTGAAATAATAAAAAAAAATACATATTTTACATGTAAGCAAAGTTTTACATGCAAGCAACATATTTTTTGCATGGTTTTAATATTCACAAAATTTTTCTAGGGATGCAAATATTGTTTGAGAGGAGACTGCAGTTGGCTCTGTTCAGAACTTCACAAAGGATTGTTCACAAGTTCATGACATTTGAGTACTCAACACAACATTCCTATATCAATTTGCATTTGTAGCTATAGCATTCATGGTGATTCTATATATCAGTAAAAATATATGATTACTTGATTGTTTCTATTATAGTTATGTACAAGTACTTTCATATTAAATAAATGTTTTATTATAAAAAAATACTATGTCATACCTTTTAATCACTTTCCACCCTCCCAAAACATTCTAATCAGATGATCTAAAAATTAAAATATTTGAATGCTGAAACTTCCACAGACTGTTTCTGAAACGTGAGCTACCAAAACTACTAAAAGGCTGAATAAACCCCATCACATTTCATTGCCATCAAAAGTCCCTCATAATTAATTAATTGCACAAAGGAGAGCACCCTTATAGTTTCTATTCTATGAAATATACTATTGAATTTTTTAAGGTTGATACCATGACTATGTTCTCAAAAGAGCTTCTAAAGCATTTTGTTTCTAACAACCATTAAATAAGACAGCATTTGTCATACTTATTACACATGTATTTTGGCTCCCTAAAAAAACAACTTTCATATACTCAAATTTCTTTCTTCTTACCTGTTTGCTGGAAAACCAGAATTTCCGTTCATGGTATGCTGATAAGTAGAGAGCATACATCATACCACTAGTAAGTGCTGCAAGACAGCCAATGAAAATCTTTGCAAAGCGTTGAAATAATACATCTGAAAAAGTATATTAAAAGTAATCAAAAGGTAATAGACACCCTTGATATGATGTGATAAAAATGGCCTTCTACCTCTATGACCTTTCTTCTCAAAATCCAGAACCCCAGTCTAATCATGAGAAAAATATCAGATAAATTCCAATAGAGGGATACCCTACAATATACCTGACCAGTACTCCTCACAACTGTCAAGGCTTTTAAACAAGGAGAGCCTGATAAATTGTCAAAGCCAAGAGGCACCTAAGGAGACATAATAATGCAATATGGTATCTTGGACAGGATCCTGGAACAGAAAAAGAACATTAAATAAAAACTAAGGTAATCTAAATAACATATGAACTGTAGTTAATAATACTATATTAATATTGGTTCATTAATTGTAACAAATGTACCACACTAATGTAAAATGTTAATAAGGGAAACTGCATGTGGGAGGGTGTAATGTAGGAACTCTGTACTATCTGCTCAATTCTTCTATAAATCTAAAATTGTTTTAAAATTAAAGTCTATATTCTGCAAGATGAAAAACTTCTGAGATTTATTTCACAACATAAATATACTTAACACTACACAACTGAACACTTAAAAATGGTTATGATGATAAAAAATTAGTCTATTAATTTAAAAAAGTAATCAAAAGGAATGTACAACCCAATATCTAAAGAAAAAAATAAAATTACATTCAGAATTACTATTGATTTTATTTTCAAGGAATTCTTTTTTGAAGAATAACTTACATACTATAAACTACAGCCATTTAAAATGCACAATTCAGTAGGTTTTGATAATTATGTTTTAAAAGATCACATACAACTGTTATGTATATGTGTATATGTGTGTGTGTGTGTGTGTGTGTGTATGTGTATAAAAAAACTACTTCTTGATGAAATAACATCAAACACATTTGGATTTTATACACACAGAATGATTCAGTCCTGCTACAGCCATCAAGTATAACAAGCACAAGCCTAAGGGCCTAAAGCCAGTGTTCCGTTACTGAATGACTGACAGGTTTGTAAAAATCAACTTCTGTTAGCTTTAGCTAAACTAAAAATCTTGGCTATTTTTAAAATACTATTTAGTAAATATTAGTTTGCCCAGCAACATAGTTTACTATGCAAACTAGTATTAAACAGAATAATTAGATATCACTAAATTAGTAAGAATTATATTCTAATGTTTGAAAAACGCTACCAAATAAATCAAATATTAGCATCAGTATGATACAATTGTTTTAAAATTTCTGTTTCCAAATGGCACATATAAAGCATTTGGATGGTGCCTGGTACATAGTAAGAGTTTAGAAAATATTAGCTATTATTATTGTGTAACACAAGCATACCTGCAAAAATATATGAGATAGTTAAAGCAATGTTGACAATATGAACTACAAAAACTAGTAAGAAAAACTGATCTATGGTGGCAGCTTAGGGAAAGCACTTCAAAGTTTCTAAATGTGTATCTTTCCTATTTTTTTTTCTTTTCTTTTTTTTTTTTGAGACAGAGTCTCGCTTTGTTGCCCGGGCTAGAGTGAGTGCCGTGGCGTCAGCCTAGCTCACAGTAACCTCAAACTCCTGGGCTCAAGCGATCCTACTGCCTCAGCCTTCCGAGGAGCTGGGACTACAAGCATGAGCCACCATGCCAGGCTAATTTTTTATTTCTATTTTTAGTTGATTTGCTAACTTTTTCACTTTTTAGTAGAGACGGGGTCTTGCTCTTGCTCAGGCTGGTCTTGAACTCCTGAGCTCAAGTGATCCTCCCGCCTCGATCTCCCAGAGTGCTAGGATTACAGGCGTGAACCACTGCGCCCGGCCTCCTATTTTTTTTCCATTAAAGCTTAGACAATGGCAAATTAATCTTGCTTATCAGGAGATATTATAAAAAGTATATTCAACTTATTTGTATATATGAATGTCTTACCTTAATAGTAAATATTTTTCTTTTGTAAGAAGTCAAAGATGGAATAGACATCAAGCTTTCAGTGTTTGACATAAGTATATATATTTTAAAGAAAATAAAGAGCTGTTGGCCCTAGAAATTGTCTTAAGAAATAAGAATTTGAATTTGAAAATTGAAAAGTAAAGGATTTGACTTCTACTTAAGTTGTCAGTCATGAACCAGCCTAATCAGTTAACTTCTACATGCACCAGTCTCTTCATTTGTAAAATGCTAATCAAGCACAGAAAAAGAAAAAAAAGATTACATATATGTCACTATCAATAATACAGAACACAGTTAAGTAATATTTAATGCATAGAAAAAAGCTAATGACATATTAAGAAAAGAAATGCAGGATTCAATTTCACAAAAAGTGAAAAAAAAGCATAAGTATACAGGCAAAAAGATAAGCAATATTTACGCTAAAATTTTAATAGTTATATCTAGTGAAATTATGGATGTTATTTTTATTCTTCTTTTCTCTATTTTCCACATTTTCTACCGGGAAAATATATTTTTGTAGTGGGGGAATACTACTTTGTAGGGCTTATGTCTAAATTGTTTAATTTTCATTCTTATATTAATATTTTCTAAATTTTTTTAAATGGCCATTCTATTAGTCAGCTTTGCTGTGATAACGAAAGTGACCCCAAAATATCGCTGGCTTATAAAACAAAGGTTTATTTCTCATATTACTTATGGATTATGGGTCAGCAGTGACTCTGTCCCAAGCTGCCATCCAATTCTAGACTTTAGATTGGCTCTGGCTCTTCTTATGTCTTCTGAGTTCCACATTGGGGTCAGGCACTATTTGGGGCATAGTATTCTCATGACAGAGGAAAAGAGCTGGAAACCGGGCAGAGTTTCTGTTCACAACTAGTACACTATTACTTCCACATACATTCCATTGGCCCAGGCAAATCACATCATAAGCCTTACGATGTAGGGATGGGTACTCACTCTGCCTCAGAGAGGCAATCCAAATCACATGGCAATGGAAAGAGATGTATAATCCACTTTTAGAGAAAGGAGCAAACGTTTGGAAACAATAAAACAGTCCACCATGTTATGCCACCTTAGGCATAAACATTCACTTCCTTCCTAAAAGTAAAGCACACTCACTCCTTCTCAAAAGAGAACCTAAGAGTAGCTTACTCAGACTATAGGATAGAGGCTTATATGCCATTTTTTAAGACCTGAAGAGTTGAGTCCTTTTGAATCTAGGCAGGAAGTTCTTTTGACAGAATACTCTCTCAAAAGCTTAACCAGTAATTCTTCTCCTAGGCATTTACCTAAGAGAAATGAAAACATATGTCCAAAGAAACTTGTATAAGAATGTTCACAGCAACCTTATTCATAACTAAATACTGAAAACAACCCAAATGCCCAACAAGAGAAGAAGGGATAAACAATTATGGTACAGTCATGTGCCACATAATGTTTCAGTCAATGATTGACCACATATACAATGGTGGTCCCCTAAGATTATAATACCATATATTTATTGTACCTTTGCAATATTCAGTTATACTTAGATACACAATATAATTGCCTATAGTATTCAGTAGAGTGATATGGTGTACAAGTTTGTAGCCTAAGAGCGATAGGCTATACTACATAGCCTAGGTGTGTGGTAGGCTATACCATCTAGGTTTGTGTAAGTTCACTCTATGTTCTCACAATGATGAAATCATCTAACGATGCATTTCTCAGAATGTATCCCTGTCATTAAGCAACCCATGACTGTATACTCAAATGGTGAAATACTACTCAGTAATAAAAAGGAATGAACTATTGATATACACAATATAGATAAATCTCAAAATGATCATATTTTTAAAGGATAATATACTGAGGTGAATGAAAGAATCCAGACACCAAGGCATACATGTTTGTATGATTCCATTTATATTAAAGTTCTAGAACACACAAAATTAATTATTCAGTACTGATAAAATATGGTTGGGTTGCCTTGGGGTGGGGCAGTTGGGAAAATCAACTGGAAAAGAATATAAGGAAACTTTCTGGGATAATAGAAATGTTCTATATTTTGTTTTGGCTACATTCAAGTATCAAAATTCATTTAATAAACACCTAAGATTCTGTGCATTTCACTGTATGTTAATTATACCTCAACTTAGAAAAATTAAATCACTCATTTTTGCAAAGAAAAATTTTGTTGACTTTTTATGTACTTGATTCCAGTCAGCTCCATGTTCCAATACCTATACCCACAGTTTTTTCCAGATATGCCTTCTCAAAGGCTTAATTACACATAGTTTGAGCTTATCAAACTTTTGTGGGCTAATATTGATACCTTTAGTTCTTTTTTTTCTAAGTCCTGTATCTAACTAAAAGTATTTAGTAGGAACTACCTTAATTAATTCATCCATTTTAACAAATTCTACAACAACCATGTCCTTGATTTGGTCTTTACCCTGAGGACTCATCTTAACCTGTCTTTGTTACTCTATATTTCTTGATTTTAACTTCTATTGATTGAAAAAGATAAACAGTTCTAATTTCAGTACTACAAGTCTCAGAATTTTTGCATTCTTTATTTTCTTCTTCACTACCTCTTGCAAATAGGCCAATTCTGTTCTAAACTCAGCTCTTTCCAGTGGTGAAATGCAGCTGATAATAACAAGGCACTCTAGTAATATTCTATTTTGCAATCTGGTTACCTAAAATGATTTTTTAAAAAAATTAGTATTAAAATTGCAGCAGTATGTGCCTGTAGTCCCAGCTATTTGGGAGACTGAGGTAGGAGAATCACTTCAGCCCAGGAGAGCAAGGTTATAGTGAACTACGATCAGGCTGTTGCATTCCAGCCTGGATAACAGAGTGAGACCTATTAAAAAAAAAAAAAAATTAGCCAGGCTGGGTGTTTCACAAACTTTGGGAGGCCAAGACAGGAGGATTGCTTGAGGCCAGAAGTACAAGACAAGCATGGGCAACACAGGAAGACCCCGTTTCTACCAAAAAAAAAAAAATATTCACAGGAAACGGTATTACCAAATGTTTTGTCACTACATAATATAGATCTTCATTTTTCCATCTTCCAAAAATAGTATTCTTGATTCCAGCCCCTAAACTAATCTGTAGATGACCCACTGCTTTTGTTTTATTTGAGCAAATTTATATACAGGCCCTCAATTTTCTATGGGCAGGAAGCAATCTGAGAAAGCTGTTCAGCCCCTAAGAATGACATTCTCCAAATCCACCTTCAGATATGGTTATGAAGGATAATGGAAAAGGAAAGATCTCCAATGGGTAGAGCCAAGGACCATGGAGAACAATGGACTGGGAAGTTATTCCCAAGAAACATAGTTGGGGCATAATCATGAAAGATTCCCTACCCAAGAGTAAGAAGACATATTGCCTAGTAGGATTTCAGAATTGCTATGGACCAGTGGCTGATGTATGTCTCCTACTCTTCCTTTCTGAATAGATGCATTTATTCTGGTTACCCTGTTCCTATCCAACAATGTATATTAAAAGATGAGGCATGTGCAGAAAAGAGTTAATATAGCAGACCTGAGACTGCTTTCCTAAGAAAGGCCTACTTGCAATGTAGGCTCTTGGCTGGCATCTGGGAATGTGAATTTCAGGAGAGTTCCCACCATCCTCTACCTGGTAAGAGTGGTTTACTGTGCCTACCCTGTTTGTACAAACAATGTAGTTTATGCTTTCCTTCTGGGAGTCAAGAATTTTGGCACATGGTAGGCAGAGGCTACCTATATGACCAGCCAACAACAAAGACCCTAGCACTGAGTGACTAATGAGCTTTCCTAGTAGACAAAACTTTATAAATGTCACAATTTGATGCTGAAGGAAGCAAGCACATCCTGTGTAACTCCACTGGAAGTGGAATTTCGGAAGCTTGTCCTTGGCTTCTTAGGGATTTCATCCCATGGGCCTTCTCCCTTTGCTAATTTTGTTTCATATTGTTCACTATAATAAATCATAGTAAGTACAACTATATTCTGAGACCTGCGAATCCTTCTAGCTAATCACCAAACATGGGGGTGGTCTTGGGAACCCGACACAAAACAGATAACTTGTCTTTTAGTTCATACGTCTCTGGATCAGAATGAGTCGTAGGTGACCCTGAGGTAGATAAGAAGACCTTGGGTTCAAGACTCATGTTGTGACTAGGTAAGATTGTCTTCCTTAGGGTATAGGAAGAAGTGTATTTTGTCTGAGGGAAGGAAATAAATACTTACAACCAAAAGGATAGGTGTAGTAAACTATATTATTTTCCCAACTATTTTCTACTTCCCTATAAAAAGATTATAGATTCTTGCCCCTTCCATATGACCCGCAACACTTCCCTATAGTCAGAGTATATTTCTCTATCAAATTGCCTGAATTGATTATATGACTTGCTAGGGCCAACAAAATGTAAGTCCAAGTGAGAGTGTTCCAGGTCAGCAGAAACTTTAAGCAGCAATGCATGATTCTGTCTGTTCTCCTGCTCTTTTCCTCTGTCACAAGAAAAATATGTCCCAAATAGGGGCTGTTCCTTCATAATGACACAGGAAACTACAGCCAACCTGCAACCATAACATGTAATATTAATCAGAAATAAATGTTTGTCACATGCCAGTGAGATTTTGAGGTTGTTCTACAGCAAAACCTAATAAAAGTCAACATATACTTAATCTCAAAATATGTTTATACATTAAGATATTAACATAAAATATCTTTTCTAGCGTAACTTTTTTTGTAGTATCACAAAAACTCCAAATCTATCTCACTTACATTTTGGAGCTCTTTCAGGAACTGGAGTGTCATTGATTTTCTCTTCTTTGGCAGATTCCTTATTTTCTGAAGACTTTGGCTTTTTTCTTTGGCGCAGTTCTACAGTTGGTCCTTAAAACATTTGAGATAATATTGCAATGTGTTTATCAGAATTGTTCTAATCTATATCCCGAGCTGATTAACTTTTATTATACTAAAGCAAAAGTCACAGTGAGACCTATTAGTACCAAAGATAACTTTTTCATAATTATTTTAGCACCCCTGCAAACTTATCTTTTGTACAAAAAAAAACAAAGACAATTTAGGCTCCACCCCCCACCTCTTTTTGAGAGTCCTATTGATAAACCAAGTTAACAAATCTATTGAGATAGTTAACAAATATACTGGCTGGGTACGTGGCTCACACCTGTAATCCTAGCACTCTGGGAGACCAAGGCAGGAGGACAGCTTGAGCTGGAGTTTGAGACCAGCCTGAGCAAGAGTGAGACCCCATTTCTACTAAAAATAGAAAAAATTAGCCTGGCATAGTGGTGTGTGCCTGTAGTCCCAACTACTAGTCAGGCTGAGGCAGGAGGATAGCTTGAGCCCAGGAGTTTGAGGTTGTTGTGAGCCCAGGCAACAGACTGAGACTGTCTCAAAAAAAAAAGAAAAAGCCAAATATACTGTATGTGACCAAGAGGCCGGGTAGATACGTCTTTTGCATTAGATAGAATCTAAAAATACACATTTAAGATAAATTGGGAAGGGAATATTCACATAAAAAGTATTCTTACAAAAAACTATCATTTTCCTTTCAAGAAATTTTCTTTATTAAATAAATAACTTTTAGGAACTTAAAAGTGTTCTCTTTGTACATATAAATGAATTTTATTTATGAAAGTATAATTTACACAAAAAATTTGCATAGATTTTCAAATAATTTATGAGGTATACAAATCTTAACACTCATCTCTCAAGAATCTGTGTTAGGGCCGGGCACGGTGGCTCACACCTGTAATCCTAGCACTCTGGGAGGCTGAGGTAGGTGGATCGTTCAAGGTCAGGAGTTCGAGACCAGCCTGAGCAAGAGCCAGACCCCATCTCTACTAAAAAATAGAAAGAAATGATCTGGACAACTAAAAATATACATATAGAGAAAAAATTAGCCGGGCATGGTGGCGCATGCCTGTAGTCCCAGCTACTCTGGAGGCTGAGGCAGAAGGATTGCTTAAGCCCAGGAGTTTGAGGTTGCTGTGAGCTAGGCTGATGCCACGGCACTCACTCTAGCCCGGGCAACAAAGCGAGACTCTGTCTCAAAAAAAAAAAAAAAAGAATCTGTATTAGCAATGATCAAGGACCACAGAAATAAATAATCTATAAAGGATCTATAACACTATACTTTCTTGATCTGTGATGCCATATATTTGAAGATACTATTTATTAACAGGTTTTCAAGGGGGGAAAAGAAACCCACTCTCATACTGAATGCATGCACTGATTTTAAGACATATCAATTTTAGTGGCATTAAATTGTAGGGGCAAAAAGTACAACTTGAGAAATACAGTATTCATTTTAGCCAATCTCCTTAACTTTGATCTTAAAACTAACTTTTTGCCTGTCACCCAGAAACAAAACTGATCAGATGTAAATTTTACTTCATCTCCTTTCTTTTTTTTATTTTTTTTTTTGAGACAGAGTCTCACTCTGCTGCCAGGGCTAGAGTGAGTGCCGTGGCGTCAGCCTAGCTCACAGCAACCTCACACTCCTGGACTCAAGCAATCCTTCTGCCTCAGCCTCCCGAGTAGCTGGGACTACAGGCATGCACCACCATGCCCGGCTAATTTTTTCTATATATTTTTAGTTGTCCGATTAATTCTTTCTATTTTTAGTAGAGACGGGGTCTCGCTCTTGCTCAGGCTGGTTTCGAATTCCTGAGCTCAAACAATCCGCCTGCCTCGGCCTCCCAGAGTGCTAGGATTACAGGCGTGAGCCACCGCGCCCGGCCCATCTCCTTTCTATTAATCCTATAACTTCATAACTGAAAGACAAAGCCAGATTATCTCTAGGAGGAAAAACATCAAAGGCCAAAGCAACGGACAAACTAGATTATTAGTTCTGACAGGAAAGTTCTAGGGTAGACTTCAAGTTTCCTTTTCACTATTTTATATTTATATATTATTATGTATTTCTTTTGTAAAGAAAAACTCAAATTAAATAAGATGATAACACACCCACAAAAATAACTTGCTATTTTAGACTTGGGTCCCCAGTGATCTTCATATGAAATAGCAGGGCTACAAATAGGCTTGCAAATGTCTATCCAGACTATACACAGCAATTACCAAGTGAAATGTTAATATTGTTCTACTCAAGTTTGTCACTTCTTTCTTTGCTCCTACATTTCTTTCAGGAAGCGTAACTATAAACACCCTGACCCTCTACTGTATCAAGGAAGACATGTTTTGGAAGGTCAGATTCCCAAAGAGTATTTACTTAGAAAAACAGTTGGACAATGAAGAAGATCAAGCGAATGTGAATGGTAAGCAAAAGGGGATATAGAGAATACCTGAATATAAGTAAAACACTGAGACTATTTAGTCTTTTTTTGAGACAGAGTCTTGTTCTGTTGCCCCAGGCAGAGTGCAATGGCATAGCTCACTGCAACCTCCCACTCCTGGACTCAAGCAATCCTCCTGCCTCAGCCTCCCTAGTAGCTGGGACTACAGGCAGGCTGGCGCCCTGCTAATTTTTCTATTTATAGTAGAGATGGGTCTTGCTCTTACTCAGACTGCTCTTTAACTCCTGAGTTCAAGTGATCCTCCTACCTCGGCCTCCCAGAGGGCTAGGATTACAGACATGAGCCACCACACCCAGTCTATTTAGTCTAATTTTAATACAGTGAATACAAGATAATTTATGTTTTGAAAAAAAAGTACAGAGTGACAAATAAACATAAAGCACTCAGAATAATGCCTAGCACATAGACATGTTTACTATAAATATTATCACTGCTAGCATTACAATAAATGAATTTAATTACTCATTCATTGTTGACTGTTATATCCCATCACCCAAATATTTATGGAATCAAAAATTTGTTGAAACTATATTTTAATAAAGCTGCAACCCATTAATTGTTCCATAAGATGTATTTAATTACTTTTGAATTACCTGTAATTCTACAACCAAAAATCATTTATCATTTTACATCACATAAGTAAATTTTATAAAATGGTGTAGTCTTTTTAATTGGTTCCACATCATACGTATTTAATTAGGAATAAATATAATCTAAAATAATTTTTCATTTTGCATGATGTATATTAAAGACTTCCAGTATTGCAGTGTTAATTTTTTATCCTTGAATTAAGCACGAACGTGTCCATGGGAACATACAAGCTAGCCTATCAACCTGCCCCTATAGATTTGCAATTAGTCAGAAAAGGAAAACATATCAAGAAATGTTTCAAATTACAATATGTATAACAACAGATAGAACCAAGGACACAAATGGAATTACATTCTTCCTTACCAACTACAAATACCTTGGATTTTGAAGCTGTTTTTAGTTATAGTGTCTTAAATTTAGATCAGCTTCAACATTCTGAAAACTCAAGTGGAGGAGGCAAATATGAACCAAGCATGAGCATAGGGACAAGGGCAGCAAGTCACAAAGCAGTAAACACTTCTTACACTTAATGTTTTTAAAAATTAATTTCTACTGAATTTTATAAACGCCTTCCTTGCACTCTTGGTTCAAAAAGGATTAAATCTAAATTAGATTAACTTACTATCACATTCACAACTCTACTCATAAAGTAAAAAGTTATGTTTTCCACCAGAATACAAAAATCTAACTGCTGGGTCAAGTCACTCACTATATATAGCTCCTGAAACTAGTAGAGGTATCATGAAGTTATTATGCCATAAATATTCCTTACAGTATCTATCACCAGCTGATAAGTTCCCAACTTCCCATTTTTCTCTCACGCCTATCATTTTCTATAATTATTGCTGAAAAAATTGATTTTCCTGGCATTCGCCCTAAGGAGGCGTGGAAACCTTTCTCCAGGCCACCCATTTTCACCCTCGAAGCCCTCCTGGCCTCATCATCCCCCAAAACTACTTACATGCCCCTGCCTTTTGCCATTTTCCGCCTAAACCATAAGTGAACTTGGCCTTCTTCAGTTTCTGCGTCCTCATCCCCTCCCAATTCACCTTACCGTGTTTACCCCAAGTCCCCGCCTCTATTTATGCCTGTGGCGAGCGTCCCCTCTCAGCCTGTGACTTTGTGTTCGTCAGTATCCACAGACCTTCGAAGAGCGCACGCAGAATGAGAGGCATTTGGTTACACAACCATCACATTCAAATACGCACTCAGCACCTAAACCTACATCTTCTAAACCAAACCACGTCCCCCACTTCATTAATGATCTGCTCACAACCCTCCTCAACCACTCCTCACAAGCGTTCACTCTCGCTAGCGATTCCCAACTTTAAGCTCCACCTTTGCTTCCCAATTCAGCCGGCAAAACTTCGGGCCATTCACTCCGCTCCTGCTGAATTTCTCCGCAAACCTCTCCCCGCCGCCCCGCTCCTTCGCGCCCTCCCCACGCGACCGCAGCCACCGGCCACCCGCAACCCAGGCCTCGGGGCCCTCCCGCCCCCGCCTCTTTCCCCAGACCACGGGCAGCAGTTGGCGCGCTGGACCCTGGGGCCATCACCTTCTTCCTCCGCCATCGTCTCCGCGGAGGCCGGGGCGCCCCTCCGGCTCCCGAGCGGCCCGGAGTCTCCCTCCCTCCGCGTCGCCCAACCCCTCGGCCGCCCCGGGCCCGCTCCCGGCCGCCGCGCCCCCACTTCCTGACCCGCCCCCCTCCGGTGTCGCTGCCAACCGGGTCCCCTCAGGCGGCCAGGGAACCAGAGTGCCGGGAGCGGAGAACGGCCGGAGCGTTTCGCTGGGGCGCCTGAGCCTACGCCGGCAGGAAGGAGCCTCCGCGCCGGGGGCTTCTCCCATGGCAGCCGGTGCTGGCCGCTTCCTCACCTGGAAAGCGAGGCTGGAGGGTTCCGCTTCCCGCTGTTCTCCCTTCGCCCTTCCCTTCCAAAAAAGTGGGGATCTGAGCATGCTTTCCGCCACTTTTGTGATTCGACTTGGCGAGTCAGAGACTATCATCAGATACACCCTCCAGATCCAGTCCCCATCCTCGCCCCATTTTTGAAAAGGGGAAACTGAGGTCCAGCGCGGTAGAAGTCGCAAGGCTAGTCAGAGCCAGAACTGGAACCCAGTGCTCCCAACTGCTATCAGTGCCTACATTGTCACTGGGATTTCAGGGTGCAGCAAATGTTCTGGGTTGGCACTTTGGTTTAGTAGGCCACTTGACTATTGCAAGAAAGAGGCTTGTGCTTGGAACTTAATGTTTTAATCAGCAAAACTGATTAAACAAATACATTGCATTTCATGATATTCTGGGGAAAAACCCAGTAATACTATGGTCTTGGGGTGGGGTGCAATTAGATATTCCACAGCAAACAGCAATAGAACATAAGTTTAATTTGTTAAAACTGTATATGTCTTCACTTTCACTATTACCTAGCATACTCCAACAAACACCAGAGCCTTTTCCCTAACAGTACTCAGAAGTAATTTTAGGAACTGACAGATTTTAAAGCAGGAGAAACAAGCATAAGAACTTGACGTTATGGGGTAATTACGGATATTTCCGTATTAGCAGGCAGCGGGATTCACCCAATAGCACCTTTAAATTAGGGTATTCGAAGAGAAGCCATCATTCTTCAGTGCTGCGCAAAAACAATTCCAGGAACTCTTTTATGTCTTGGTTTGCCATGAATGTCTTTTGCCTTCAAACAACACCTCATAAGGAGTTAGAAAGAATGCACCAGAACAGGCCTGGGGTCAAAGGAGAAAGAGAACAGAATGTACGGGACCTTGAAAACCACAGGATATGTCAGGGCCCATGGACAGGAGCAGCAGATACTCAGTGCCCTTATCAAATCAGCTGGCTAAAAGAGCCACACCTCGTGGGACACCAATACAGTAGCCATTGAGTTTGGCTGTTTTCCAAGTCTAGGGTCTTAATGTGGTGCCTATACTTCCTTCACGATCAGCTTGAGATGATTAATGGACTTAACTGTAAATTTGCCTGCCTTATAATGTAGTAGGGGAAAGAAAAATGATATAAAAAAATAGCTTATTAAAATGAGAAATGTCGCAGCTACTTGGGAGGCTTAGGTGGGAGGATTGCTTGAGCCCCAAGAGTTCGAGACCAGCCTGGACAATATAGCAAGATTCAGCCTCTACAAAATATTAAAAAATTAGGTGATCATGGTGATACATGCCAGTAATACCAGCTACACAGGAGGCTGAGACGGGGAGTACTTGAACACAGGAGTTTGAGGTTGCAGTGAGCTATGATGACACGGCTGCACTCTAGCCTGGGTGACAGAGCGAAATTCTGTCTCAAAAAATAAATAATAAAAAATGAGAAATGGAAATATGAAAGAAGATAGAGATAATTACTCAATCATTAGACAGAAATCAGCAGACTAGTGGTTGTGTTCCCTAGTAGAAACATTCTTCCCTTGAACCGTAAAACCTCTGCATGAGGATGAGAGTGGGCCATCTTATTCTCAAACTGGTATAATTTTGCTGTGAGAGAAATATGCCTGTTTTACTCAAAATATATATGTCATCCAAAAAGAACCCTATTTGCTCAGGATGTTGCCTTGCAAAAGACATAATAGCCGAGTTTTCATTAGGTTATTCCATAAGGCCAGCTGTTTCCAGATGGTAATACACATGGCTAGTGGACACATGGTCCTAAGGTGATTTCAGGTGATAACCTGATTCCTGACTATTTTACCACAGCAAAACCATGGGCTGCAGTTTCCCATCCAAAATTTGAAGGATAATTTCATTTCCCTTTGCCTCACCTTGATCAGTCCTAAACACTCCACATTTCCTCAAAGCGGTCTTTTTTTATAATCTACTCTCCAAGAGCAATATGATTTTCTACCTCCTCTAGAAGTTTGAGGACCCCTTCTGTATGCAATGGATACTTTAAGGGAGTAAAGTGAAATAGTCTTTAAGAAGTTGTTAGAACATGTAGATTAGGAGGCTTTTACAGTAAACTGGGCAAGAAAATACAGGCCTGGAATAAGGAAATGTAAATGTTCAAAGAGAATGTATTCAAAAGATGCTGGAAATAAAATCTACAGTGCTCGATGACTTATTGGATGTGATAAATGATGAGTTAAAGATAACTTCTGAGGTTTCTATCTTAAAGCTAATCCTGTGTATTCTATGTGCCAAGGACAATGTACTGCCAAGATATGAGAAAAATATAACATGACAGCCCTTGAGGACTTACCTACTTGAAACCAAAGAAATATATACAAAGTCTATTTTGAAAACATTCTTCTGATAGATGCTTCACCTCATCATTATTATAGTATTAACAAAACATAGTGTGAAATCCTTGTGTCAGTTCAGGTTTTCTTCTGTTAAAGATATGGAATTTTGTCCCATCTTTATTATGCAATAAAATCTTGATTATCTATTGATTAACAACGTTATATTCCCCTCAAACACTGCCTTCCTTGTGAAGTCTGAACCAAATGTGATCAGTTTGTCTTTACTGCCATTATATCTTGGTTGGTATTTTGGCCATGTTGTATCTCTAGCCTCAGGTTTAAATTCTTTGAAAACACATTGTAGACAAGTAATTTAAGCATTGACTTACAAGTCGTTGATAGTAATAATTACTAGCTTGAATGTGGTTTAGAAGGGCAACATGACGAGTTGTATATTTTGCACTATCCATGAGTACTATTCCTTGATTTGAAACTGTTTTGTTTCAACTTGTCACTAGTTCTAATTGTCACTTTGGATAATTGGGCTTTTCTTTTAACTTTTCTAAAAAGGACAAGAGGATCTATTGTCAGTTCTTATAGTTATTTCTCAAGCAGGCCTTGCTTGTTCCTTATTGTCTGAGGCTGTACTTCAATACTCCTTGAATACATTTGCCCTGTTACCACTCATCATAAGAATCTGCTATGTTCCTTTTCCACTGGCTGAGAGCTACAATCATACAAACCAAAAGAGTCAAACTGGCAACATATAATCCTTCCAAATGGAATACATTAAAAATGTATTCTATTTAAGCATTTTTGAATTGGATATATTAGACATCTTAGGACATTTTCTAAAACACGATTTTTCCTAGAGTTAAAACTACTCTATTTCAGGAGTTTGAGACCAGCCTGAGTGTCTCTACCAAAAATAGAAAAAATTAGCTGGGCATGATGGTGTATGCCTGTAGTCCCAGCTACTCAGGAGGCTGAGGCAGGAGGATCGCTGGAGCCCAGGAGTTTGAGGTTGCAATGAGCTATGATGAGGCTACTGCACTCTACCAGGGGCAATGGAGCAAGACTCTTGTATTGGGGGGAAAAAAAACTATTCTATGAAGAGATTATTTTTAGCAAATTGGCAAAAATACTCATAAAACAAAGCATTATTGGAACTAAGTGGCCTATTATCAAGATTTTCTGAGGCAAAGCTTCTATTGTAGTAAACACAGGTTGCTGATTTTGTACCAAGACTCTTTTCTTTCTTCTTTCATATAGTAAGCCCTTTAAATATTTGTAAAATGGAATTGGAGTTGCCAGATATAATTCAGAACACTTTAGTATAAGCATGTCCCGTGCAATATTTGGGACATACTTATACTAAAAGTTATTTGAAATTCCCATCAAGTATCCTGTTTTTTGTTTTGGTTTATTTGGTTTTGTTTTATTTATTTGTTTGTTTTTGCTGACTCAGATGACCCTATTTATACGATCGAGACTGCCCCATTAGAAGACACTTAGTATCGTCTGTTCTCAGGCCTTCTTGGCACATGTAAATGACTGATTAAATTCTTTCTTATATTGATAGAGGGAAGGCAATTAGATGGCAGGTGGACTTTGAGTACTTTGAATCGATAAATTTATAAAAATATCTGCTTTCCTAAAGCCCTCACAGATTAAATTGTTTCTGCCATCCTTCCACCCTACAAAGGGCTCAGGCCAGACCTGGATGGACTTAGTGGAGTCCTGGAGCTGCCCTTGAAGTACTGTTCAGTCAGACAGCCACGGCATATCATTTATCAGGCATGTCCGGACCTGACGCATCAAAGACTAATGAAATTCCAAATTGTAGGTATCTTAAAACCAAAGGAGCAGGATGATTTTGGGGGAAAAAATGTTTTCCGCCAAAATAATGACATAGCTATTACGATTTATCTGTAACAAGAAAACTGCTAAAATATTTTTCTTCTTTAAAATGCAGTCAAACATAAACCTCATCAATTATGATATGACTAAAAATAGAAAAAATTGGCCGGGCACAGTGGCTCACGCCTGTAATCCTAGTACTTTGGGAGGCAGAGGCAGGAGGATCCCTTGAGGCCAGGAGTTTGAAAGCAGCCTGGGCAACAGCGAAAGCCTGTCTCTACAAAAAAAATTAAAAATGACAAATTAGCACAGCCTGGTGATGCGCACCTGTAGTCCCGGGTACTAGGGGAGCTGAGGCAGGAGGATTGCTTCAGCCCAGGAGTTGGAGGCTGCAATGAGCTATGATGATGCCTCTGTACTCCAGCCTGGGTGACAGAGCAAGGCCCTGCCTCAAAAAAAAAAAAAAAAAAAAAGGCAAGAAAAAAAAATTTAAATCCTCTTAGAATCCAGGATAAACACTCTTAGGCCAAGAATAGGGTCCTGAAAAGCCAGTAGCACTAGGTATCCAGTAGATGGCATACACACACCAAACTGTCTTTTGGGATGTGTACTTCAGAATAAAAAGAGACTCCTTGAATTTATACTCTAATGTGAAAAGCATACCATTAATACCTGGATTAATATTAACATTTTAAAAATTGACAAAGCAGCCGGGCGCGGTGGCTCACGCCTGTAATCCTAGCACTCTGGGAGGCCGAGGCGGGCGGATTGCTTGAGCTCAGGAGTTCAAAACCAGCCTGAGCAAGAGCGAGACCCTGTCTCTACTAAAAATAGAAAGAAATTAATTGGACAACTAAAAATACATAGAAAAAACTAGCCAGGCACGGTGGCGCATGCCTGTAGCCCCAGCTACTCGGGAGGCTGAGGCAGGAGGATCGCTTGAGCCCAGGAGTTTGAGGTTGCTATGAGCTAGGCTGATGCCACGGCACTCACTCTAGCCCGGGCAAAAAGAGTGAGACTCTGTTAAAAAAAAAAAAAAAATTGACAAAGCAATGCTAAAGAAACAATTAGCAAATTCAATTTATCTAGCAAGTTAAAATTTGTAAAAATTCTTAAAACTTTATAGAATCACATTAGTTTCACCTGCAGGAATAAATGTAAATTCATTTGTTCAACAGATATTTATTATATATATCTCAAGCACTGACTAGTCACAAAGGTTACAGTGGGGAACAAGAAACACATTGCCATTAACAATATGGGGCACCGCTTACAGGGAGATCTTACTGCAAGTCCAGGGAGCAGGAAAGATCTTCCTCAGAAAGATCAGATTTCTGAGTAAGAGTCAGTGGAGAGAGGGAAAGCAGAATAAAGGTATTTCAGGCAGAGCAAACAGACTAAAGCACATCACTCCTGCAAAGAACTGGAAAAGGTACAACAGAGTATAGGGACATGAGGGAGGAAATGCCACACAAAAAAGCTACAGAGGTAGTAGGCAGGAGTCAGCTCGTACCATAGCATGCAGATCAGACACATATGGATTTTTTTCCTATAGCAGGTGAGAAGCTATTAAAAAGTTTTAAGAACACATAATCAGATCTATGTTTTTAATTTAAAAGATTTTTTTTTTAAAAAAATCATTCTGGCAATAGAGGGGGGCAAAATTTGATGCTTAAAGTCCAATATTGAGGCAAAAAATAGGCAAGATATTGGTGGGTAGGACGGTGAGGGGCAAGAAGTTAAGAATGACCTCCTTAACTTTAACACCCAGAGGTACATTGTGCTGGTTACTGAAGTAAAAAGAGCACAAGGAGCAGCAGGCTTTTGGACATGAGAAAATAGGTTCTGTTTTAAGAATATTGAGTTTGAAATGTCTGGGAGACATCCAAATGAAAACGTCCATCAAGGTGCTGGGTGTGGAATCTATAACTCTACACAAAAGTGTGGAAATAGGCCGGGCGCGGTGGCTCATGCCTGTAATCCTAGCTCTCTGGGAGGCCGAGGTGGGCCGATTGTTTGAACTCAGGAGTTTGAAACCAGCCTGAGCAAGAGCAAGACCCTGTCTCTACTAAAAATAGAAAGAAATTAATCGGACAACTAAAAATACATAGAAAAAATTAGCCAGGCACGGTGGCGCATGCCTGTAGTCCCAGCTACTCGGGAGGCTGAGGCAGAAGGATCGCTTGAGCCCAGGAGTTTGGAGGTTGCTGTGAGCTAGGCTGACGCCACGGCACTCACTCTTTTGAGACTCTGTCTCAAAAAAAAAAAAAGTGTGGAAATAAATGAATTTGCCCAGAGAGAATGAATAGATGAAGATGCTGAGGATAGAACCATGAGAAACACCAATCATGCAGGGAAGGATGAATCATAAAGCAAGCTGAGAACCAGAACAAGGTGAATATTTTACATTGACTTTTTAAAATGTGTTTCTAAGTATTTGACTCTCCTAGGTATCAGGTATCAGTTATAAAACACTAGCTCAAATTCAAGCGTGAAACTCAATTTGTTACCCACTAGTCAACCTTCACTTTTAGCACAGCAACAACATAAAGCAGCTGCAGAATTAATGGCAAGCTGGCAATAAAGTAAAAGGGCAGACCAAAGGAACACTAGGAAGCCCTACTCCGTGATGCCGTAAACAATGAACCATATTTGTGCAATGCTAGGAAGAGCAGGAGCAGATGGAGCAACTCAGAGTGCTAATAACCCCATCAGCCACTCTTCAAGTCTTACTTTGTCTTCCAGATCCCTTCCTTTCTTTGCAACCTTGAGGTTTTATCAAGCTTTAATTTCCTAATCTATAAAACAATACTAGTACCTACCTTAGAAGGTTGTTGTGAAGATTCATTTAAATAATAAAATGCTTATTATTGTTGAGCACACATGTTCACAGTTCTTTTGTTGTAGCTTATACTCTTTTGCGGTTATGATTACCACCTTGGGTTCTGGCCCAAAATCTCTCTCCACTTTCCACATAAAGGAATTGAGTGGAATGATAGAGGACATTGGCCCTTTAATTTAGGTCTGAGACAGGGGCAAGTCAAGTAGTTTGCTTTGAATCCTGTTCACCTGGGCCCACATCTTTGGCTCCTGGTCTTTAAGAACTAAATACAAAGTAGGAGGCAACAAAAATGTATTGATAGAAAACCTTTTCTTTCTTGGGGCTCTCTTACTTCTCCTGAGTTTTAACCTGGTGGCCTTCAGGTCCATCAAAGTTGAGATCAGCTCTTGTCTCATCTGTGTGTCCTTAAATTAGCACATGGGTTAGAGAATGGATTACAGAGTACAATTATAGAGATTCAACCTTGAACAGAAGAGATTCAGAAACAGAATATTTCCTCCACTTCAGTCCTATGTATAATCCTTTCCCTCCTCTCATTAAGAGTACCACTTTCTACATGGCCCCATTTTAAACTTGACTCAAAGAATTTGCTTCAACATATAAGAGTAGGGAAAGTGGGAAGGAGTACAAATAAAGCAAGATTGGCTTGGAATTCATAATTGTTGAAGCTGGGTAGAGTACATGGATGCTCATTCTATTATTCTGTCCACATTTGTATACGTTACTCTTGTTTTTCCCCAGAGAGCTGGAGAAAGCAGGGAAAGGGCTACACACCTAAGAGATGGACCTTTAAGGTCTTTTACATATTTCAGCCTTCTTTACTCATTCTCCTTTCCTTCCCCATCACTTACTCAATTCCACACCCTCCTGACTGCCTATTCTCTTTTCTGCATAAAGACACAGCTGCACTAGCTACAATTCCCGGGATGTGAATAACAGAAACATTAGCTTAACCCAGGCAACTTTGATTCTGCTGAGGGCGGACAATAACTTGACCAATATTAAATGCCTACCAGAGATACCATAGTAACGCAGAACCTGGGTGAGAACTTCAGCTTGCCTTGAGAACTCGGCCACCTCCTTGTAATACGCAATAGCAGAAAAACCCAAGCGATACTCCATTTTTGTAAGTGATGTTGATGAGGACTAGGACCAAATAACTTCCCCAAGTAAGCTAAACTTCAATGAATGCTTATCAAGAACATATTGAGTGAACAGAAATATGCTAGCCATTGAGGGAAGTATAGGTACAGCATACTTCTTGCCCTTGAGGTTATAACCTAATTTCAGAATTGATACAATTGTGCTTTATAACAAGAATTTGTATGTCAAGTGACACTGACAATATATGTTGCTATGAAATGTTAGAAGTCAGGCAAGACTTAACTTGGGTCCTAAAGAATGGACAGAATTTCAATTACAGAGAACTCAGCATCAAAGAGAGAAACTGGAACAAGGAATATGTGGGACTCAAACACTAAGGTTCTAGATATGACTGGTTTTATGTGGCTTAAATAGGTTTACAAATTGTCAAGCAAATAGATTCAGTAATAAGATGCAAGGACCAAATAATATCTGTGACTATCATAATTGTTGAGAATTTCAAAGTGTATAGGATTTATGCTCTAAGTACGGATGTTTGACCAATATCTTGAGAAAATTTATCATTGATGGCTTTTATACATACTTGTGGTAAGCTTAGGGGAAAAATTCTACCATCTTGGAAAGAGACAGCCTATCTACATCAGTGGTCCCCAACCTTTTTTGGCACCAGGGACCATTTTCACAGAAGAAAATTTTTCCACAGACTGGGTACGGGGAATGGTTTCAGGATGATTCAAGTGCATTACATTTATTGTACACTATTTCATTATTACATTATAATATATAATGAAATAATTATACAACTCACCATAGGTTGGGGACCCCTGATCTACACGCTTCCACCATTACCATAATTCTTCTAATAACAAAAGAATGCAAACATTGAGATTAAGCAGGCAAGTTTTATTATCAAATGTTAACAATTCTACAAAAACTCAGTAGTATTGTAGTAAGTATTACTGCGTATCTTAAAGTCTTTCAGAGCTTTCGGCAGACAGCATCTTAAGGCATCAAGTATAAACAACTTTCTTTCTGATCTTAAGTGCCAGTTATCACCAATTTTCACACAGAATGTTGGTTTTTTTTATTTTTCTACTACACTCAAAGGGCCATTGCTGGTCAGCTGAAGCGGGACATTTTTGGCTCTCCATCCCAGGTGTTGATCAAAGTAATGCAAAGTAAATAAAAATAGCAGCCACATAAATCTGCATGGCATTGCATCCAAGCAAAGAACAAGAGTAACAAAAGAAATATCAACATTCAATGCACTTAATCAAATCCTGTTTTATTCTTTGGAGTTACATGAGGCAGCAGTACCAGCTCGTGTCCAATATTGCACTTTTGTAGCATAAACACAGCTGAACACATAGTGCTAAACACCAATAGCATCAGTACCTGTTCTACCTGCATCAGTGTTTACCTCTCAGTCTAGCATGCTGACTACAGTCCTATGCTTTTAAAAGTTTTAATTATTTGACAGTTAAGGCATTAGAGAAAAAGGTTTAAGGCTATTTTAATATATACAGGCATTCACTTCAGTTAGTATATTGTTTTCTAGAATACATTGTTCAAAATAGTCTCATTTCTGTGATATTAAAAACTGTGGAATTCTTATTAAAGTCCAAAGCGTCAATAATGAAAAAAGTACAATATAAAATAATACATATGAAGCCACAATATTCAGTTACAGTTCAAACTAGAAATTACTAACTACATGTAGCTGCTTCGTTTTTGGTTTTGCATTTTGGCCCCTAGTTCATTTTTATTTACAACTGGTACCTGCTGAGAAAAAGAACCCTGCTTTGTTATTTCTGTGGAGGGCGTGCCTTTCTCCTAATTTGTTGTCAAGTGTTTTAAACATAATTTTAATTTTTTTTTTAACTGTAAGACATCAGGATGGCCAAAAGGCTGTGAAAATACCAATTGTATCTCATTCCTTAAGTTTGTGATTTAAATATTCCAAGACTTTATGCTTGAATCACTTAGCAAGAAGGCATGATTATGTAGAAGACAGGAAGATGGAGAGAAAATAGTAGGAATACACAAAAAATGAAGCTTCCATGACAGTTCATGGTAGAGATGGTAGACATTGGTGGAGTATTTTATTATCCAAAATTTAAAACTTAAGAAACGCCTATGATGCCACTTTAGCTAGAAGTAATGGAGACATCTGATTTCAAATTCACATTTTAAATGCCTGTTTGCAATCAGCAAGGAGCCAGGTATGCTGCATGCTGATTGCTATAAGGATTTGGCTTCAGTGGCTCAAATTTTACACTCCACCAAAAGATAAGGCACAGGCCCACTGTCTAATCACGTTTGCTGAAAATACTGCAGCCCGAGTATAGACAAACTTCCCCTGAAGTTGCTAGAAGTTTTCTTGTGTCTGGCATTTTGAAGATCACCATATATCTTTCAAACACTGGAAAAAAAAAAAAATGAATAAAAGGAAATATTAAAGCATCTAAATTTAATTCTTAGCAGCCACAAAAATGATTTAGAATTCCAAAAAGTACCAAAAAAGCTTTAAGATACTCCAAGTTTTTATTTCACACATAGTTGGCAAATGCTTGAGAGTACAGCACTAGCAAAGGAAATTTACAGTTTTAACTGGCATTTCGTCCAGCTCCCTACCCTTTGTATTACCATGTGTGTTTTGTTAGGTCAGAGGAATAGCATCTTCTCCTTTATGTATAAAACCCATAACTCAGATTCTTTAATCAAAGTTTGATAGCCTTTTTCTCATTTAAATCAATAAAAATCAGCATTTAGCTGTTCTTACCCACTATTATAAATACTACCACCTAGTGGAAAAAGAGAAAAGAGTATATTTAAAGAGCTGTTGGTTTCTTGCCAATAAAATACCTATTAAAAGATTTTTTTGGTGAGAAACTAAAATATTGGTCACTCTATTGAACCAAAATAAGAAATTATACTACGAAAGCCAGAGATCACTTTCAATCCATAAAATAACCCAAACTTTACACTTAGAGGAAACTATACGTACTTTTTACTAACAATATTTTAATCCATTCAGACATGTATGTGGGGAAAAAAAGTAAAAAAAAAAAAAAAAAATTTTAATCCATTGCCTACATTAAAGTCTAAGTTATTTTGGACTCAGTTTTACTTCACCTAAATGGAGAAAAGGAAAAGGTAAATAGACCCCAGTAAAAAAGACTTTTGTTCTTTTTAATCATCCTAAGCAAGAACTTATAACAGAGTTATAACATGATCCCATGTAGAAACAGAATTCTTATGATATTTTCATGTTGTAATTAACTGCTTACCCTTCAAGACAGATGTATATACTGCATCATTTTTGAATGAAATTTCTCAGTAGGAATTCCTTTGTCATTTAGAAAGTTTATAGGATCTAAGCGCTTCAGAACAGAAGAGGAAACAGAAAACATTCTCTTCCAGAAAGTAAAAGCCCTGTTGCTTGAGGTTGGCAGTCATTGTACTTTCCAAAAAAGGAAAGCAAACACTCACACAAATAGGTTAAAATCCAAGATAAGTGAAGAGATCAAGAAACCGGGAGCCTAGTTCAGCTATAGTCAAAGGCCCTGAAAGGAAATGCTTAAAAAAGCAAAAGAATGAGAACATGTTCCAGGGGGCACATGAGGGAACCTGAATGAGCTCCCAGGGGCCACAGTTGGAACCATTCGAGCAATAAAACAACGTAGTATTGGCTTATAACCCAACATATCAAATAAATATGCATGAGTCCATACTAATAAAGATAAAGGGTTGAATGAATAAAAAACAGGGAAGGAGAAATAAATCATCATTACAGAAAAATTCCTACTAATATATGTAGGCACATCCCTTTCTTGAATGTGGGCTGAACAGTGAGTCTCTTCCAAAGAATAGCATATGAAAAAGGAAAAATAACAACTTTGTAGTGGGGAGACCTAGAAAACACTACTTTAACCAAGAAATAAAGGTTGACACCAACAGCAATGTCATGTGGTACCACACTCCTGGATATTACCTGATCAGAGGGAAATTTCACCTTGATGGTGTTCTTTCCTAACACCCATTAGCCCAGTCTCATCACAAGAAAAACATCCAGCAAATCCAAATTGAAGGACAGGCCACAAAATATTTCAAAAGCAGTATATCTCCAGTGACAAGGTCATGAAAAACAAGGAAAGGCTAAGAAACAAGCACAGACCAGAGGACACTAAGAAGATAGAACAACAAAACGCAATGTGAAATTCTGGATTGGATCCTGGAACAGAAAAGGGACATTAATGGAAAAGCTGGTAAAACCTGCATCATGTCTAAAATTTAGATAATAGTGTAAAAAACAAAACCTTGCCCCTATGATTGCTGTAACCACAGCAAAAAAAAAGAAGTTATTAATATAGAATTTCATAGTTCATAAAATTTGTTTGCATTCATTAATTCACCTGATTCTCACAGAAAATGTTAAGTCACACATGCAGAAGTGATTTGATTTTTTTTTTTTTAAAAAAAACCAATAGTTTACAATAGGAGTGATTTTATGCCCATTTTACATAGCAGGGAAACGCTACCTCTAAAGTACTGTCACCTCCATTATGTATTCAAAATACAGTTATAGCCAAGAACTACTGATAGATTTTAGTGCTTGACACTGCCTTAGAGACCTTAATAAGAAACTTGGAACCTGGCCAGGTACAGTGGCTCACGTCTGTAATCCCAGCACTTTCAAGGCCAAGGCAGGAGGATCGCTGAGGCCAGGAGTTCCATACTAGCCTTGGCAACGTAGTGAGACCCCCATCTCTATGAAAAATTAGCTGGATGTGGTGGCACACACCCGTAGTCCCAGCTACTCAGGAGGCTAGGGCAGAAGGATCACTAGAGCCCAGGGGTTGGAGGTTGCAGTGAGCTAGGGTTGCGCAACTACAGTCCAACCTGGGACAGAGATCCTGTCAAAACAAAATAACAAAACAAAAAACAAAAAAACTCAAAGAAAACAGCCTAGGAACTTAACAGTGAGTGGAGGAATAAAACCATCCTGGCCATGTGAAGGGACATTTCTTTTAGCCAAACACCCATTCTCTTTCCAAGGACGGACCCTGGGCATCTTCAATGACTTGTGAAGTGCCCTTCAGGTTTTCTATAGTAAAAAAAGGGGGAATATCTATAGTGGTTCTTAGGGGTAGTTAACAAGTGTAGGCTGGGCTAATGGGACAATGCAAAAGACGACAAAAACAGTGTGACTTCTTTACCAGATCTTGTCATGGGCATTAGCAACCTTTAACTGATCCTATAACCAACAGTGAGATCATTCTTTCAACATATTTTTCAGAACACTGTGTTAGTTTCCTGTGGCCCCTGTAATAATTTACCATAAATTTGGTGGCCTAAAATAACAGAAATTTATTCTCTCACAATTGTGGAGGCCAGAAGTCAGAAATCAAAGTGTCGGTAGGACTGCATGTCCTCTGGTGGCCCTAGTAACAATCAGTTCCTTTCCTCTTCCAGCCTCTGGTGGCTGTAAGCATTACTTGGCTGTGCCCACATCAGTCTAGTCTCTGCCTCCCTAGTAGCATCGCTCCATTATGTGTGTCTCTGTCTGATCTCCCTCTGCCTCTTTTATAAGAATACATGTATGTATTGCATCTAGGGCCCGCCCAGATAACTCATGACATGTGCTTCCTCTCAAGAACCTTAATTCACAGCTTTTGCCAGAGGTCATAGTCACAGGCTCCAGGAATCAGGATGTGTTCATCCAAAGTGTTGAATAATGAACACTTGGAAGTACAAAGGATGGACCAAAAAGGATACCAATAGGCTGGAATGATGCGCTCTCACCACTGGGACACAGACTAGAGAACACCCCATCCCTACTACAAAGTACATATGTTCCTTGGCAGGACCAAGATATCTTGAAACCTCTTTGAAAATAGCAGATCTGAAAAACCGACACTTTCAACCTAGAACTGGGGTTTCCGCACTTCAGAGTGAGGGACTAAGATGAGAATTCTTTTATTTCTCAAGGATGACAGAGCATTAGCAACCCCCATTTCCAATTTAGAATCCATACAATTAAAGCCCACAGGGTCCTCAGCCACGAAAATGTGAACTAAAATAAAATTTTAAGGCTCACCACCCGCCCCACCAGCTGACAAAATTGACGCCTTCGTGGCCAAAGGAATATCCTAAAACTAAATTGCCTGCCAGAACAAAGGAGGTCAGACATGCCTTATCATGCCCCCCTCCCTTCTTGGGGACATCCTTTGTAACCCATTAACAGGCCTAAGGGTATGCAAGACAAACCTACAGGTCCTCAATCTACACAACAAATGTATGTATGTCCGTGGCTTATCTCTGATAAACAGCTCCCATGTTAAAACATTCCAAGCCTTTAGACAAAGCTTCATGTCTTCAACCAACTACAAGCCAAAGAATCTTTAAACTCACCGATAACCTGTAAGTCACCCCCCCTCCACCCATGGCCCACGTTTTCGGGCCAAACCAATGTATGCCTCCCACATATTAATTTATGACTTTACCTGTAACTCCTAACTCCCTGAAATGTATAAAACCAAACTGTAATCCAGCCACACCAAGTCCACTTGCTCAAGGCCTCTTAGGCGTGGCTCCGAGTCATGGTCCTCAAATACGGTTCAGAGTAAATCTCTTTAAAATTATTTTACAGAGTTGGTCTTTTTTTTCCGTTGACAAAAACATTAACAAAATAGGAAAACGACATGCTAGCAAACCAACAGTCAAAAATCATGAAGTAAGCCACACCAATTCCTGAACATGTTCCTACAACTTCATCTCTTAGGGAGCCTAGCACAGAATGTATCTTTTAAGAAATGGTTGTGGATTAATGGGGGGTGTGGGGGCCACAGAAATAAACAAAAACAAAAATCCAAAACACGATTTCTAAAAGAAACTTCCTTCCCTCTAGATTTAGTTTTAGAAAAGGAAGACGATATGCAAAAAAACAAACAAACCTTGCAAGCAGGAATAAAGCACATTTAAAAGTAAACCCAAACGAACTTAAAAACACCATGTCAAGTGAAATAAGCCAGTCACAAAATCATTCCACTTGTGAGAGACTACCTAGGATCAAATTCACAGAGACAGAAAGTAGAGTGGTGGTTGCCAGGGCCTGGGGGGAAAGGGGAACAGGGAGTTACTTAATATAGCTTTGATTTGAGAAAATGAAAAAATTCTGGAGCTGGATGGTGGTAATGTTTGCTCGACATTGTGAATGTACACTTAATGTCCCTGAACTGTACATTTACATTGTTAAAATGGTAAACTGTGTTATATATACTTTACCACATTTTTGTTTTAAAAAAGGAAACTGGAAAAAGTACACTCAACCCAAGAGAATTATGATATAATCCAGTGATTCTACTCCTAGATACCTAACAGAACTGAAAACAGATACTCCAATAACTGTACATGAATACTCACATCAGCACTACTCACAATAATCTGAAAGTAGAACCAACCCAAATGTCCATAAATGGATAAATAAAATGTGATATATCCATACAACGCAATATGATTCAGCCATAAAAAGGAATGAAGTACTGAAACATCCTGCAACAAGGGTGCGCCTTGAAGCACATACGAAGTGAAAGAAGCCAAACACAAAAAAGTCACATTATATGATTCTATCTATATGAAATATCCAGAATAGGTGAACATACAGATAGCAGATTAGTTGTCAGGAGCCACTGGGAGAGAAAAGAAGGAATGACAAAAATGTTTTAGAACTCGATAGAGGTAGTAGTTGCACAATGTTGTAAACATAGTAAACCACTGTGTTGTACACTTTAAAATAGTAAATTTTATGTTAGGTGACTTTTACCTCAATTAAAAAAAAAAAAAAAAAGAATACCCAACCTGTACTCTACATGAGATATAGTAAATGAATTTCCAGATGGAAAAGTTTTCCCCTACCCCGAAATAACATACAATTCTCATTCATAAATGTTGTTTAGATACTATCTACTAAGATGACAAACTTAATTCCAGTCTCCATTCCTTCCAGGATTTCTGACATTCTTCCATCACAATGAAGAAAAAAGGGACTCTCTCACCTGACTTCTAAACACCTTCAGATTCTTGACCTCTATTTGTTGGGCCCTTTATAATTTAACTTGTGTCAGTAGAGCCTTACCTTCTTTTCTGAGGATGGTCTAACTGCTGGGGCCCTTAAATACAAACCCATTCTTTGGGTAGACTCCTGGCCTGGTCATTTGTGTGTACAAGTCCATCCTCGGTTGCATACTAAAATGCAAGTTAAAACAAACAGGATCAAAAGATGGACAAACTGTCACTATGGATAGTTAATATTTAAACTAAATAGATCTACCAACAATAGTATAGGACATTTAGACTGTAGGAAACAAGTAAACACTGGAACAAACCAGCACATATGTATGTGCTAAGCCCAATCTTCACTTCTTAACATGTTTAAACACCATAAAATCTCTTTTAGGAGGGAAGTTAGAGTGAACACATGGATTAAAAAAAGAGAACACCACCATACCACAAGAACCCAGGAGACCAAACACTAAGATCTTGCTAATAGTACAGTTTCCATCATACCACAGGTATGATTAGATATCAAATATTTGAGCACCATTTGCAAGCCAGTGTACATTAAGTCCAATATCCAGTATTTCTAAACAACCCAGTAAATTTTAAATAGTATTAGATGTATTTGTAATATCCAATTCTCTCAGGAGGGCAGCAAGTGAAAATCTTAGTAGAGAGAAATCTAGAGAAACCATGATTAAAGTCACTACTTTGAGAAGAAACAAAAACTAGCATTTATCGAAAATGCAAAGCCATCGAGACACCAAAGAATAATGCAAAGAGCAAATGAAACAGTAAAAAGAATTGCATAAGAATACCTGAAGGTCCATTTCAGTGTAGGAGGCCCATCAACTGAAATATAAGTTGATGTTTATTTTATTGATTAGAATGATGACCTCATTACCGAATATTTTCATGGTAGTTTATCCTCATAAATTTTGTTCTTATTCTATTAATCTAATTATCGAAATGGACCTAACTCAGGTACCTTAACTTTACAAGACTATAAATTTGAAAGCAAAACCCATGCCCTGTATCTTGCTTTAGCTATCAGAATTTCTCCCTTTTGGTAAATCCTTGCTCTTTCTGGCTTTACCCCCAACCCCAAATGAAAAATGGAAAACACAGGGCCAGGCACGGTGGCTCACGCCTGTAATCCTAGCACTCTGGGAGGCTGAGGCGGGCGGATTGTTTGAGCTCAGGAGTTCAAAACCAGCCTGAGCAAGAGCGAGACCCCGTCTCTACTAAAAATAGAAAGAAATTAATCGGACAACTAAAAATATATAGAAAAAATTAGCCGGGCATGGTGGCGCATGCCTGTAGTCCCAGCTACTCGGGAGGCTGAGGCAGGAGGATCGCTTGAGCCCAGGAGTGTGAGGTTACTGTGAGCTAGGCTGACGCCACAGCACTCACTCTAGCCCAGGCAACACAGTGAGACGCTATCTCAAAAAAAAAAAAAAAAAAAGAAAAAGAAAAATGGAAAACACAAAGCTGGAGTAGTTTTACGGAATTAATATTGCTAAAGGTTGGGTGAAAATACATCCAAAAACTGTACTTAAAATCAAGATATATATATATATACACATGTATTTTTTTTAAAATACAGAATCAGACCAGCAAGAAATTTTTTCAGCTTCAAAATGGGGAAAAAAAGAAAAATTTCATTTATTCAACCAATTATTGCCTGGCTATTTGCTTAGTTATATAAATACAGTTGTTATATAATTATATAAAATTAATCATAACCAGAAATAAAATATCTCCCATTATATAGACAGCAATAAATATACTATAGGTAAAGATAAACACAGACTACACTTACGTGAACACAGGTTTTTTTTGTTGTTGTTGTTAAATGTCACCCACAGATTTTATCTTGTGACAAAGCCAAATCTAAGGAATCTAGTGAATGGCTGTTCCCTGAATAACTGAGAACAGGAAACCACAAATAAGGCATGGTTTTTTTTTAAAGACGGTAGAAAATATGAGCTTTTATGTCAGAATGATATGAAATTAGATTAGGTATAAAGATTTTTGAATGCATGTATTGTAAGTGTCTCATAGCTCATATTACTGAAGGCAGATAATGGAATAATTTGATATAGTGAATTAGATACTTGAGGTTCCTGTGTAATCCTACTTCATTAATCCAGTTCATAAATTCCAAGCACTTTAGAAATAAACGAAATGCCTCGAGACGAAATAATTTGCACCTTGAATGACTCTAGAAGTTACTAAAAAGAAACACTGCTACAAACTGAAATTGTTTTATCTCAATTTTAAAGCATGTCGATCTTTTAGTCACAAATCTAGAAATAATCACTACTATTATGCTTGAAGTAAAACAAATACTTACGAATGCCAGCCATGACACTTTCCATAGTAAGAGCATTTTGGCTTAATCTCATTACCAATTCGTGTATAAAACCTCTTAATTCTATTAAGTGTACACGTAAAAGTTGATTAGTCAAAAAAGCAGTTAATTCAGCTGGCCACTAAAGCCTGAACTTTTCCTTAAACTTTCTACAGTTGGAAAACAATGGAGAAAATGAAATACGATAGTCAAAATGTTTTCTCCATGAGATTAAGCAACCTTTTTAGTAAACTTTCGGTAAAATTTTCTATTCCTTTATAATCTAGTAAATCAGACACCAAGTTTGGAAAGCAACCTTTTTTTTTTTTTTGAGACAGAGTCTCACTCTGTTGCCCTGAGTAGAGTGCCATGGCGTCAGCCTAGCTCACAGCAACCTCAAACCCCTGGGCTCAAGCGATCCTTCTGCCTCAGCCTCCCGAGTAGCCGGGACTTACAGACATGCGCCACCATGCCCGGCTAATTTTTTTTTTTCCTATGTATTTTTAGTTGTCCAATTAATTTCTATTTTAGTAGAGACAGGGTCTCGCTCTTGCTCAGGCTGGTCTCGAACTCCTGAGCTCAAACAATCCGCCCGCCTCGGCCTCCCAGAGAGCTAGGGATTACAGGCGTGAGCCACCGCGCCCAGCCGAAAGCAACTTTTTTTTTACCCGTTTCAAGGTCTTCCAAAGGCAGCATAACTGTTTAGGGAACAGTAAAGTATCTACGGACCTCTTTTAAAAAAAACAAAAAACTCACTTCTGGTAAGAATGTGCTATGCCAGGCAATAATAAAAGACATCTTTTGTCTACCTTCATTCAGCTTTTCACTATCACTCATAGATTTTCTTCATTTGTCAGAAAATGCCCTTTGTGTGTTAAAAGTCCTTGAGACAATTATGGGATATAGTAGGTATAGGGCCGTAGCATCACCACTGAGATAACTTTAGCTGAGATAACATCTGTAAGATGACATGTGGATACCAAACTCACAAACCCGTTCTAGCAGTAAAACAGCATCTGCAGACACAACCCTTACGATGCTGTATGGCGAATACTCAAGGGCTATTTTAGGATCAGGCAACTATACCTACAACAACTTCTCATATCTGAAGACTCAAGCAAAGTTCAGCTCCAGTAAGAAAGAGATCATTTTTGCTATTAGCTCAATCAAAAGATTACAAGTTACTTATTTTTAGATATGGCAGGAAAGAGGGAACTCAAGTTTTGGGAGGTAATTATGTGACTTGAGGGAGGAAAAGTATCTGCTCAGATGAGATGGCATGGAGGAGATTTTGTTAACTGTTAAAGATCTCTTACTAAAAATCATCTCATTGTTTAGGTTGTCTGAAAACAACTGATAGACCAGATAGTGGTAGGAAAAAAAACTGTCAAAAGTAAATGTCAGCTTCACTAGAATTAATAATAGCAGATCATTTTATGAAAGGCTCATCAAATACTCAAGGGCTCATTTTAAGCGGTTACCATCTGAAAACTCACTGAGTCTCCCATGCATTGGGCAATGTTTTTGTTCAGGTTAGACAGAGGGCTCTAACCACTTTTTAAATATTCACCTTTAAACTCCATGTTTAAGTACTTTTCTTTAGCCAAGGATTTGACACCTGCCATTGAGAAAAACCCCTTCATAGCCACTCCTATTCTAGATGAAAACACCTATATTGCTGTGTGCCCTAAAGAACTTTCCCAAAGTTGCTCAGTTTTCAAAAACACACCAACATTAAGACGACATGGAAAAGTTCTAACCTTGTCAAGAGGATGAGTCCTAACCTAGTCAGTCCCCGGGTCATTGACTCTGGATCTATTTGCTTCAATAAGCAAATCCATTAGTACATGTACACACACGAGTTTCACAGAATCTGTCTCTTTCCCGGCTGCAATCTTTAGGCAAATCAACTTTAATAAGGGCACTGAGGATTTTTCTTCTTCAAGCTACTGACCTGGTAACCTTGGAAGAAGTTAAGAATTTCCTTAACTCCAGTATTGTAGGCCAGGCCCTGCATTCTGACCACCGTGCCAGGCTGTGGAGGGACACCGCTAAGATTAGCAGCAGTAGGGAAGTAGCCAAGACTATTAGGCGAACCTGGGGGGCTAAAGGGAGAGAAAGCACAGTGAACCAATAGGAATAGACAATGTTGAATACTTACTCTAAACACATGGGTTACTTAAGGAAACAGACTTTCTCAGGGTGACCTTTCTTATACTTCTCAGAGCTATCTTTCCTAAGGCGGGTAAGGACACTGCAGGAATTCTGTCTCACCATTTCCACAAAAGCCGTAAGGTGAAAGCTAGTGAAGTTAATGCGGAGTTACATGCAGGGCTTCACCACATCTCTGAGATTCGTAAAGGGAGAGGAAGGAGAGAAGTAAGGCCTCACAGTGACTCCACCACAAAGCACCACTCCCCCAAAGCCCAGCTAATTGATGATTCATTGGCTAGTTGTCAGGAATACTAAGACATGAAAAGCCATGAATACAAAGGACTAATGGGAACCAAAGCCACAGAGACCAAAAGTACCCAAAGTGATTGCTGCAAAGAATAGTCTATTCTACCCATATATATACACAAGCAAAAGTACAGCATAACAATGTTATAGCAAAACAAAGTGCTATAGTGCCCATGAGTTATATTTTCCAACCTGATTTTCAAAAATGGAGGTGAGAGGAGTTGGAAGGGATACATAACAAAATAAATCTATCACCATTAACACAAGGGAGAAAATTGATAAACAGGTTGTCTGATTTATACCCAGAAATTACCTCCAAGGAGCACAAGGCGATTGAATGCCTAACATTACGTGGAAACTCCAGTAACTATTCATACCGTATTATACAATTAGTTTCACCCTGTCCCCACCCAATCTGTTTTCTATCACAACTGGTGGCCCAATATCCATAACTGAAAATACATACAGGGAAATTTTTAAAAGCTATTAGCTCAAGGAGTAGCATAAACTTACAACTTTGGACTATTAACTTTTATTCATCTTTCTAAATACATAATTGTCGCATTTTAAAGACAAGTAAACATATAATAGAAGGAACTAAAAATCTTTAAGATTATCTATCCTACATAATCCTAACAGATGGGTTAATAGGAATGGCATCAGATGTGCCTCTAGTCCCAGACTCCTCTTGTTATTAGCAAAGTAACCTTGAGCAAGTCACTTAATTTCTTGGAAATTCAATTTGTTCATTTGCTAACTGGGAATAATTAGCACCTTCCTAGTTTCACAGGACTGCTCTTCAGGTTCAATGATTTAACATAAACCACAAAATGCTATAACATATTATCTCACTCTTGCTATTTCTATGGCCATCATTCTATATAATATTTCATCATTTTTAAAATAATGGGAACCTGAAAATATTACATGACATCAAGCTGCCCTTAACCTTTTATCACTAAAGCAGTGGTTCTCGACTAGCTTGCAAACTACACTTACTGATATTTTTTTAATTTTACAACTCTCTATAATGAGATCCTATCCCAACAAATTAAAAATCAGAAACTCAAGAGAGCCAAACCCAAGTATTAGTATATCAGTGTATTCTAAAGGCCTCCAAATTATCCCGATGGAAACCAAGTTTCAAAACCACTGTTTAGAGACTTCACGTCAATTTATATGCAACTATGAGACTAAAGAGAAGGAATGCTGAATTTCTGGTCTGATTAGGACGTTACACATCATGCAACCATACCTTCTCAATTTGACAGAGGTGGAAATAGAAACTAAGAGTTAAATAATTTCCCAACTAGCCACATAACCAGTTAGCTCCTTTACAAACTAGAGAACCACCCAGATTTAGCTTCTAGTACAATCCTTTCCCCCTATACAAGCAGCATTCATTTGAAGACTGTATTTGCTCATGTCAAACACCTGATAGACATTGAATCTAATACTCAATGACCATCAAAGACCTACCCACATACTTTATTATTAGTTACTCAGACTTTTCCATACTACATATGAAAATCAGGTCATTTCCACAGTATACAACTTACTTTCACAGCTTTGTCCTGGCATATTCTATTCCCTTTGCCTAAAGATCTTCTATAAATTAAGTCTGGGGTCTCTAGTACCTTCAAAATATAATCAAGATAAAAATAATAGCCAAGATAAAAGTTATACAACTAGAAATGTAAGGTTACAAATAATAATTATATTCAGCATCTAAGACAGTACCAATTCTGATGAAGCTTAAATACAACACAACTTGGATCCTCACCCTTATTTCTCCCAACTATGATTACTTCTCTATACAAAGAACCATAAGAAAAATTAAATAAGCCATATTATCTACCTGACAGGGCATAAGAATAATATTCACCAACCCAAGTTCTAAATTTCAAAGTCTTTCATGGATTATCAAAAAAAGAATCAACAAAAACAATTTACAGAAAAATGACCAAACACAAATCCGTATGTAGAAAATCAAAAAGAATTTACTAAAAAACTACTAGAATAAACCAGTTCAGCAAGGTTACATGATACAAGATCAATATACAAAATAGATCAACTGTACTTCTATACACTACAATGAACAACCAAAAATAAAATTAAGAAGACAATCGACAATAGCATAAGGAAAACATACTTAGGAAAAAATTTAACAAAGTGCAAGACTTGTACATTGAAAACTACAAAATATTGCTAAAAGAAAAAAAAAGATCTAAATAAATAGAACTCATGTTCACAAATAGAAGAATTAACATGGCTAAAAATTAACCATTGATCTAAAGATTTAATGCAATGGCTATGAAAATTCCAACTGGCTTTTTTGCAGATATGCAAAAGGACCCAGATTAAACAAAACTCTTGAAAAAAGAATAAAGTAGGAGGACTTATATTTCACAAATTGCAACCTTGTTATAAAGCCACGGTAATCAAGACAATGTATATATCAGCAGTCCTCAATCTTTTCTGCACCAGGGACCGGTTTCATGTAAGACAATTTTCCCACGGACACGGCGGGGGGATTGTTTTGGAATTCAAATGCATTACATTTATTGTGCAGTCAAACCTCTCTGCTAATGGTTATCTGCATTTGCAGCCACTCCCCAGCACTAGCATCATTGCCTCAGCTCCATCACAGATCATCAGGCATTGGAGTTTCATAAGGAACACAATCTACCTCCCTCAAGAGGTACAGTTTATAGTAGGGTTTGAGTTCCTATGAGAATCTAATGCCACTGCTGATTGGACAGGAGGTGGAGCTTATGCAGTGATGAGAGCAAGAGGAACAGCTGTAAATAGAGAGAAGCTTCACATGAAGCTTCCCTGGCTTGCCTGCCATTCATCTGCTCTGTGGCCTGGTTCCTAACAGGTCATGGACCAGTACACCCATCCATGGCCCCAGGGTTGGGGACTATAGTTATAGATCAATGGACTAGAATTGAGAGAATAGAAATAAACTTTTAGGATCAATTTTTTGAGGGGGGAGGGTCCATCAAAGCATTTTATTTGTATGTATTACATTTGTATACAAAGAATCCCAGGATCTTCCCCTCTGTTTTTGCTTTGCTTCATTGTGGCCCCTTGATGCCAGCTGAGGTTGTCAGTATGATGAAACCAAACTGACAAGATGGAAGCAGATTATGCTGCCATTTTTCCAGATCTTTCAATTGTACATGAAATCTGGGGCTGATAACTCCACATTTGTTTAACTTGCCTATGGGGTTCACAACAATTTCCCTAGCTCTGTGATCGATGATTTCAAATTCGCCATTGTAACCATGCTTCATCACCAGTTAGAAACCAGACAATGATTTTGGAGCATGGCCCAATAAGAACCTGGAGTTTGTCTCTCCTTTCGGCATTATTGATGCTCCTGAGGGCATCAACCAGGGCATACATGCACACCATTATGGTGGCACAGAAAGATGGTAAGAAGAGCTGGTCAGTTAATTTTTGACAAGGTTTCCAACACAATTCAATCTGGAAAGAATAGTCTTTCCAATAAGCAGTGCTGGGAACAATGGAATATTCACATGCAAAGGATGAATTTAAACCTCACATAATAGGCTGGGCGAGGTGGCTCACACTTGTAATCCTAGCACTCTGGGAGGCCGAGGCAGGAGGTTCACTTAACATCAGGCGTTCGAGACTGGCCTGAGCAAGAGGGAGACCCTGTCTCTACTAAAAGTAGAAAAATTAGGCAGGCATGATGGCATGCTCCTGTAATCCCAGCTACTTGGGAGGCTGAGGCAGGAGGATTGCTTGAGCCCAGGAGTCTGAGGTTGTGTGAGCTAGCCCAGGTGACAAAGTGAGACTGTGTCTCAAAAAAAAATTAAATTAAAAAAAAAAACAAACCTGACATAATACAAAAAGTTAACTCAAGTTGAATCATATACCTATCATATACTCTACGGAACACTTAGAAGAAAACATAGTAGTAAATCTTTGTGATCTTGAGCTAGATATGACACCAAAAGCATAAGGAGAAAAAAAATGAAATAGGTAAATTAACTTTATCGAAATTTAAAACTTTTATAAAGGACACCATCAATGAAATGAAAAGACAACCCACACACTTGAAAATATTTGTAAATTATATCTTATAACATCTCATATTTAGAACATATGAATAAATTTTGAAACTGAAAAAAAAAACACAAAACCAACCAATTTTAAACTGTGCAAAGGATTCAAATAGACATTTCTCCAAAGAAGGTATACAAGGGCTAAGAAGCATGTACAAAGATGTTCAAAATCAACAGTCATTAAGGAAATGCAAATCAAAACCATAATGATAGCAAATCCACACCCATGAAAATGGCTAAAATAAAAGACAACAATGACTGGCAAGGATGCAGAGAAATTAGAACTCTCATAAATTGGTGGGAGTGCAAAATGGCAAAGCCTCTTTGGAAAACATCTTGGTAGTTTCTCAAAAGTTAAACAGTTATATGACCCAGCAATTCTACTTCTAGGTATATACCCAAGAAAACTGAAAACTTATGTCCACACAAAACATTGAATGTAAATGTTCACAGTAACATTCTTAATAGCCAAAGTGTAAACAACTCCAAATATCCAGCAACTGATAAATGGACAAACTAAATGTGGTATCTCTCTACAATGGATTATT